ATTAAGGCCTTTTTTTGTATAATTCTTCTGTGTATTCTTGTCACCTCTTATTAATATCTTCAGCATCTTTTAGGTCCTTACCATTTCTGTCCTTTATTGAATGAAGTGTTTATCCTTGAAATATCTTTGAATGAAATGTTTCCTTGATATCTCCAAGTTTCTTGAAGAATTTCTAGTCTTTCCCCTTCTATTGTTTTCCTCTATTTCTTTGCATTGTTCATTAAGAAAGCCTTCTAATCTTTCCTTGCTATTTTCTGGAATTAATTCACTTGAGCATATCTTTTCCTTTCTCCCTTGCTTTTCACTTCTTTTCTTTCCTCAGTTATTTATAAATCCTCCTAAGACTACCATTTTTCCTTCTTGCATTTCTTTTTCTTTTGGTTACTTTTGGTCACTGCTTTTGTACAACGTTACAAACTTCCATCCATAGTTCTTCAGGCACTCTTTCTACCAGATCTAATCCCTTGAATCTAATTGTCACCTCCATTGTATAATCATAAGGGAAATGATTTAGGTCATACCTGAATGGCCTAGTGGTTTTCCCTACTTTCTTCAATTTAAGCCTGAATTTTGCATTAAGAAGTTCATGATCTGAACCACAGTCAGCTCTAGGTCTTGCTTTTGCTGACTTTCTTTTAGAGCTTCTGCATGTTTGGCTACAAATTTCATAATCAATCTAATTTTGGTATTGACTATCTGGTGATGTTGGAAAAGGGTGTTTGCTATGATAAGCATGTTCTCTTGACAAAACTCTGTTAACTTTTGCCCTGCTGCATTTTGTACTCCAAGTCCAAATTTGCCTGTTATTTCTGGTATCTCTCAACTTCCTACTGTTGCATTCCAACCCCCTATGATGAAAAGGACATCTTTTTTTGGTCTTAGTTCTAGAAGGTGTTGTAGGGCTTCAAAGAATTGGTCAACTTCAACTTCTTTGGCATCAATTATTGAGGCATAGACTTGGGTTACTGTGATACTGAACGGTTTGCCTTCGAAAGAAACCAAGATCACTCTGTCGATGTTTACTCTTGCCATCTCCTACTTGACAATGTCCAATTTACCTTGATTCATGGACCTAGCATGCCAGGTTCTTATGCAATATTGTTCTTTACAGCATCAGACTTTACTTTCATCAACAGACACATCCGCGACTGAGCATTGTTTCTGCTTTGGCCCAGCCACTTTATTTTTCTGGAGCTTTTAGTAATTGTCCTCTGCTCTTCCCCCATACTTTATTGGGCACATTCCTGCCTGGGGGACTCATCTTCTGGTGTCATATCTTTTTGCCTTTTCATGCTGTCATTTACATTCTTATAGTTACTTTACCATTAGCATTTAATTGTTATCTTTTTTCACATTTTTATTTACTATGTTTTCTGTTCCCTTATTTGCAATCTTTTTTCTATCCTCCATCGGCTAAGGTTTAATTTCTTTATTTTTTTGTTACTCCTAATTTAAGACACATAGTTACATTTTTTTCTTTATCTGTATCACTGGTTAGCAATATCTGCGTTATATCTATAGCTAAACAGCTCCCTGAGTTTGATCTTATCTCCTTCTTCTCATCTATCTTTCTGAATTGATATTTTTAGAATAAATTTACATATTCAAATATTAATATGTATACACATACACACATTCTTCTTATTTAGACCAGAAACATTTTACTGTCACGTGGGCTTCCCAGGTGGCTCAGTCATAAAGGATCCGTCTGCCAGTGCAGGAGACACAAGAGATGTGGGTTTGAATCCTGGCTTGGGAAAGTCCCTTGAGGAGGAAATGGCCACCCACTCCAGTATTCTTGTCTGGATAATCCCATGGACAGGAGTTGGGTGGACTACAGTCCATGGGGTCACAAAGAGTTGGACACGATGAGCACTCATTCTTATAATTTGTAGTGATTCCATAGTTTATTATATGACTAATGTACTTTCTAAAAGAGTGTTTTCCAAAGGTTTTTTTGCTCTAAAAGTTCTGAGTTTTCATGTCTAAGAAAAATTTTATTTTATGCACATATTTAAAGAATATTTTATTGGTTATAAATGTCTAGGTTAAAAGTCTTTATCTTTAACACTTCAAATGTTATCCTGCTGTCTTCTTGCTCCCGGAATTGTTGAAAAGCTTAATTCTTAGTCTTTTGTAGACCTTTACTTTTAATCTTTCAAATCTTATAAATCTCTTCCTTTGTCCTCGAGTCTTATTCTTTTCATGCCTATTATCACCATTTTACTTTAGTCATAATATTGTGTGGTTTCTTTGTATTTTATCATCTTCATTTATTACTTTTATGATGCCTATTTTGCTGATTTCTTATGTCTAAACTGTTAACTCTGTTTCATCTGATAAAAAAATGTTGTGTTTGTTGCCTTTCTTAAAATAACAATTGGATTCCAAGGTGATTAGTTATGAAGATTCCTGGAAGCTGTGAAACAATGCTTTGTATTTAAATCAATTTAGGATAATAGAAAAGCCAGCATCTCCAATAAGCCAGCATCATTAGGTGAAATGATAGTCATGTTGGTGGATGACAGAAATGAAGAATAGAGGTGTTATTAAAGGCAAAAGCGGAGTCTCCAAGAAAGATGAACTTTGACATGTACAAAAGAAGGGTTTCTATCTCGAATAGAATAAATGAGAATGTTTATAGACAAGAGGAAAAATTATAGATGTAAGCATGCATGTGTGCTAAGTCACTTCAGTTGTGTCGAACACTTTGTGACCTATGAACTGTAGCCCACCAGGCTCCTCTGTCCATGGGATTCTCCAGGCAGGAAGTGCCATGGAGGCAAGGTTGACATGCCGTCCTACAGGGGATCTTCTTGACCCAGGGACTGAACCCACATCTCTTACATCTCCTGCATTTTGACAGCAGGGTTCTTCTTCTTTTTTTTTTTTTACCACTAGAGCCACCTCGGAAGCCCCATTGGTATAAGAGACTGGATCATTTATATTGTAATCTTCCAGAAAGAAAGGGATACATTATTTGAGTAATTTTTAGTGAAACTATAAGTACTCCGAAGTAAACCATATACCATGAATTGTGTTTAGCATCCTTCTTTCCTCAGGTCTTTTTCACATCTGTTCAATACAAATTTGTTGTCCATTTAATGCTGAAATATTAATAAGAAAAATAACATAAAATTGAAATTTGAGGTTGGTAACAATCAAAAATACACTTGAAAACTTTCAGAGAGTAGACTAACCAAAGGAAACAAAGTATGCATATTTATTTTCCTAGATACTTTAAAGATCACTCAGTACACACAGAACATCTAAAGTTCAAAATAGGGCCTAGAGTTGCACTCTGGTATGGTGCCCAATGGACAGGTGCTTTTTTCTTGTTTGTTTGTTTGTTTTTGAAGTTAATTCAAATTCAGTGCCGTCTTTAAAAATTGAATAAAATTAAAACTTCAGTTCCTTAGTACCATTGGCCACATTTCGAGTGCTGATGGCCATATGTATTTGCTACTGTATTGGACAGTGCAGATATAGGACATTCCCACTGTTGCAGAAATTTCTTCTGGACTCTGCTGGCCCACAGGATTCGACAATGTAAATTCCTTACCTACGTTTCATCTTTATCTCAACGCTATCTTCCTCTTGCTCACTCTTTTCTATTTCCCTTGGCCCCTCACTTTTCCTCAAAGACATGAGCTTGTTTCTACCTTTAGGTCGTCCTTTATGCTTTCTTTCAAAGTACTACCATTTCCTCATGTTATTCTTGTCTTTGTTCAAATATCAGTAAATCCTTGCCTCATTCATATAATAACATTCACTCTTAACAAGTTCTATTCCTAACCTTCTTTAATTTCTTCATACCACTGTTTGTTATTAAGCTGTTCCTTGTCGGTTTCTTCAGTAGTTTGAGTTCTATGAAGGCAGACGCTTTGTGCTCTTTGCTTTTATAGCATGTACTAAACCAAGGTCTTGAGGTAAATATTGTTTAATAAATATTTATTAAATAAATATATAAATAATATTCCAATTTTTTGGCATATCACCTTTGGGAGTATCTTAGTAGATGTTTGTGAACATTTGATTTGAGGACCTTAGGGTCCTCAGAAATCTTGTTTAGAGAATAGCATTAACAAAATCATAAAATATTTTTATATCTCCCAGAGTTTATTCCTAGTTGTTTCTGCACATGTCATGGGAAATTTAGAGTATTACAGTTACATAAATTCCGCATTCTTACTATCTGCACCTACATTATATTTTAAAGTTTCACTAAAGATAATAAATATAATGGCCGAGAGGAGAGCTAGAGCTGTAGGGGGATAGAGACAGTGAGAGAGAAAGTGATGGTATTTTTAAAAATATAAGCTTTAATATTCCCTCCAGCTGAAGTACAGAAGAAAAGGAAGGTTGTTTTAGAAAGGAGTTGAGAAAGGAAGTGAAAAACTGATTTATGTTTGGACTGTAGAATCAGATTTCTAGATTTCAATTCTGCCTTTGTCACTCTTTAGCTATATAATCTGAAACAGGTTACTGAATTTCTTTCCTCATGTATACAGTGGAGACAATGATAGTATATACTTCATATTGTCATTGTGAAGATAAATGAGAAAGTTGGATAATACGTTTCCATGTAGTTTCTATTCATGTGGACTAATTGGATGAAGTTTGAATATCCACCTATAAGATGCTGTCAAAATATTTTAAAAGAAAAATAAAATTTGTAGGTGGTCATCTCTCTACAAATGAAGTATATAAGCTCTGGCTCAAGGTATTCATGATAACTACTCTGTTTATGCAGATACTGGAGTAGCCAAGGGTGATTTGCCTAGTCATCACCAGCTGGTAGGTGGAAGTGAATGTAAGGAAAAGCAACACAGTGTTACTTCAAATTCTAAAATATTCTGCATTTTGATACACATATAACTTTAATTTAAATATTCTAAAAATTACTTTTAAAGGTTGTTAAAATCTTTCTCTTCGAATTCAGACTGAAGAGCAACTTTTATCATTATGCACAATATTCTAAATGCATTATATTTTGCTAGATGGAGGACGTTATTGAGGATATAATCGGTATGGACCCAAGTTTTAAAGAGGAAGGAACAGATTCTCCTCTGCTAATGCAAAGAACAGTAAGTGTTTCCACACCTGAGGAGGTCAGTGAGATTAAAATCAATAATAGCACCTGATGACAAAAAAAGAAATTTCATTTGATTAGTAAATGGTGTTTTCTTCTGCACTTTTGAAACTGGTACAGAATAGATAAACATTTAAAAAATAGTTGTTGGTGCAGGAAAAAATGCATAATTTTATAGGGCTTGTACTATTCTATCTATCTATCTACCTACTTATCTACCTAATCTCTATAAACGTCCATCTAATTACATATCTTATCTGATATAGCATTTGCTGTGAAATCTTCAGATTTCCCATTTGGAGCACAACATATCATAATACCCTCATAAGTTCAAGGCTAACTGTTAACTATTTTACCATTATTAACAGCTACCAGATTCAGAGGCTCTATACCTTATAGAGAAAGGAAAAAATTATAACATAATACGACTTTATTTTTGAGCCAAAAATCAAAGGTTAAAGATGAAGTGAAGAAAGGTAGAAGAGGCCTCACACTACTTTAAGGCATTTAGACAGACTTCTGTGTTGAAATCACAAATTCCTGGAATAATAAGCAGGGAAGAGATAAGATAATATTTCTTTGATTGCTGTTGCCTTCTCATTGTTCATTTATTAATCTCTAGAATCTGTAAATGGTGTACAGGCTCTTTCTACACATTTCGAAGGGTTGTTGGTTTATTTATGATTTTAGAGCTTTTAGAAAATGAGAAAAAATGTGAAAGATTTTGATTTGTTACTTTAAACATTTCATTAAAAAAAAGTGAATTCTGACTGTATTGTGTACTGTAGATACTGTTCATCAGTAAATCAATGGGCTGAGTTGTGTTGTTAATAACAGACATTTTAAACCTAAAACTTCAAGAAAAGTTTGGAGAAAGCATCCCTCTTCTATTTATTAATTCCCAAATAGACTACAAAGAAGAATTATATCTTTCCTCCATTTCTCTGGTACAAAGGACTTCCACTTTATAACAAGTCACTACCACCAGTAGTATCAGACAAAGATCAAATGAAGTTAAAAATATAGTTTTTTTAATTGAAAAGTTTATTTTTTTGTGAGTTTTTTGTTTGTTTGTTTGAATGAAGTGACAATTCTTTTTACCTCTTCTGTCTTCAGATTTCAAGAGGTATATTTACAACAATTTTGACTAATTCTCTACATAAACATGTTATTTATACTAATTTTCTCCATCTAATCCCACAGCATAAGGTTACTATTTTCTTAACCATTATTTGACTTTTGGGTTTAAGGAGATGACACTAATTTATTTCAATCTTCTCTTCCTTGTATGTGGTACTTATTTCATTGAAATCGTGTGCTGAAACATTTTCTTCATCAAATTGTCTTACTTGTTTTGTAGTGGTTGCATAGATTGCTTATTCAGCGCAAACTGGTGACAATGTCGATTGGGAATTTGTTTTTTGTAAACAGGATGTGGGCTTCCCAGGTGGCACAGTGGTAAAGAATCCACCTACTAATGCGGGAGACAGGGGTTTGATCCCTGGGTTGGAAAGCTACCCTGGAGCAGGGCACAAGAAGCCACTCCAGGATTTCTGCCCGGAGAATCCCGTGGGCAGGAGCATGGTGGGCTACAGTCCCTAAGGTCGCGAAGAGCTGGACGTGACTGAAGTGACTTAGCACAGCACAGCGCAGCGTACAGAATGTACTTCTAAAGAGACAGACACTACTGGCCTATGTGTATTCATATAAGGAAGTGTCTGCTGTTGGCCAAGCGACAATTATTGATAAATCGAGAAACAAGAAATAAAACCACGCAGTTCAATTACCCAAAAAATTATTCGATACTTGTTGTATGCAAAGCTTCATACATGTGCTATAGGAAACCAAAAGTTGAGTGAGACACTATTTAAGAGACCACATGATAGTGAGTCAGTGAGGTGAGGCACACTGGAGGGACAGTGAGGGAAAGAATATGGGTCTCAATATTAACCCAGGTTGTCATCTAGATATGGTGTAAGTCACTTAATTTTTCTTTACTTTCTTCTGTGTTATGAGAATCTTTAAAAATATTTATTGCCAATGCTGTTTTTATATTAAATCCTAGTAGATGACACACACACACACATATGTAGATATATTTAACGCTAGTCAGAGAGTTGCCCTGGAGTTTGAGTAAAGCAGAAACCTTGCTAAATTGAGACATTTCTGAAATACTTTAGGAAAAGGTGACATTTGAAATATAGTTATGGAAGAAAGTTAAGATTTTAAGAGGTAGACATACAGGCAGCAAAGTAGCAAGAAAAGAGAACAACATAAGAAAAGGCAAGAAGTGAGAAAAAAGAGAATGTATAAGAATAGCTGGTAGAACAGAGATAGGAAATTCTGAAGGGTTTTTATAGTTCATGTGGGTAAAAATAAAGACCTGTTAGATTCAGAGGAATGCTTTGAGTAAGCATTTTAGGCAGTGAACTTTTGGTTTTAGATGATAGAACTTGGCTTATATGGGGTGTAAGTATGAAAGGAATTTGTTGGCTCATCTCATCCATAAATTCCTAAGTAATATTGCCTGCGAACATCCCTCTATAAGTTTGCCTTTGTTCTATACTGGCTTTATTCTCAGCTATTGAACAGACAACCTCACAGCTTATTCCTAGCCATGCACACAGTTTGTCCTTGCTAACCCAGCTGTTTTTTTTAGACATCCACTCTTTGACAAGGAAGAGGAAGTTTCTGATTAATTTAAGCCAGCCCTGGTGGCCCTGTTTCCTTAGCCAGGGATTGTTTTAAGAATGAGCTTGTGTTGCAGTTCTGAAGGTTTAGCAGGTTACTGGAGTCTTCGAGGAACTTACTTCAGTCTTTAAATGAGGCCCACCAGAGAGAAGGTTTTGTCTCTCTATGATGTTGTAAGACAGTGTGACTTATGTGGTCATTTGATTGCCCAGGAGGTAAATAAACTGAGGAAAAACAAAAGGTACAGAGAGGAAAATCCAAGAGGAATGCAAATAAATCCTGCTTATATGACCCTGGAGAATTCTTTACCTGTGGATTGCACACATCATCTAAGAGTTTTTTCCTTTATTTTGTAAGCTAATTGTGTCAGGATTTTATGATTGTCATAACCAAATGTACACTGATAGATACATTCAGCCAGACTTAAAAACTTAAGGGGAGAGCTCCTTTTTTCTTTAGTTCTAGTTAAATCTCTGAGATAATTCTTTTTGGAGCAAGTTTTGTCACTTTTCTATCTCTCAGACAATTTTTCTGGGTCTTGGGCCTACCCTAGAGTGACTTAGCAGCCCCAGCAGCCAAAATAAATTATCTAGATTAAGACTGAAAACTAGGAGTATAGGAATTGTTGCCATAATTCAATAATAATTATTATTAAAAAATAATTACTCTTAATGTCTCACCTTCTATACCACAGGCACATTGCCAACTATTTTACAAATAATCTCTAATTGTCATAGAGACTGCAGAGTCCAAGGGGGCAATCAAGGATTCCCTGGTAGCTCGGATGGTAAAGAATATGCTTGCAAGGCAGGAGACTGGGGTTCGATCCTTGGATCAGTCAGATCCCCTAGAGAAGGAAATGGGAATTCCCTCCAGTATTCTTGCATGAAAAATTCCAAGGACAGAGGAACATGGCAGGTTGCAGTCCACGGGGTCTCAAAAGAATCAGACACAACTTGGTGACTAGACAACAACTGGGGCACTCTGTTGACTGCTATTAGTCACTTTGGAGTTCTTTGGCTGTGATTTAAACAGAAAATCTTGGGTGTCACTTAGCTAAGATTTATCCCAGGGCCACTGCATAGAGTAAGATTAACTAACCCATGTTAACTCATATTCTGATTTCTGTTGGTTGGAAGCTTGGAAGCGGCTCTGGGGTAGCTTGGACCACTTGTGGTGGCCCTTCAGGCTTCCCCAGATTGAATGGACGAGTTCAGTGTTTTCACAGTTCAACTTAGTCCAAGCATTTCTGACACAGAAATGAATATTGTGCAATTAGTGACTAGACTCAGAATAGTTAAGGAGAAGTTACCTCTTAATTTCTATTTAAACAAGAGAGCTAGCTATTTGCCAATTAGTTCTTACTGCAACAATTGTGTAAATTGGACTGAAAAGACCCAAAGTGCAAGACACATTCAGCCAAATCAGCTGTGCTTTCATCAACACCAAACCTCTCAGTTTCTCAGTCTTCTTGGGGTCAATGGTATTTCTCTCCTCACTCTCCAGCCATCCTTCACATGATGATATCCCAGATCTCATTATGTATTTTTCTATTCTATAGCATTTTTCTTTCATTTTTTTTTGACCATTATGTTCCATTCTTTTTTCAGTGTACCTAGTCTAATTTCTTACTTCAACAATTGTTCAAGCTTGTGGAGACTCCAAGTTAATTGACTCTATCACTCTTTTCAATAGCTATTATTTTCCACTCATGACATTTTGAAAATTTCTTCCTTAACCTATGCTTGGTTAAACACTATAAACATTTATTTTGCAAATACTCTTAACATATCCCCATTTTTCTTCATTTTCTTTCCCTAACAAAAGCCCAACCCTGACTAAACTTATTTTTCATCTTATTCCACATCTTTACCTGAGCAGCTGAATGGATAAAATTTCACTACATTGCACATAGTACTCACCTCCAATACATCACAAAAATTTCATAGGGGCTTTCACTACTACCAGACAATACTACAGCTATTCCTTGGTTAAAGTTCTCATTAAATGAGACAACATTAATATACTTTCTCTTCTCAAATCTCCACCATTCTCCATATTCTAGCTGATTTCTCTATCACAACATATTTCAGAGAGAAAACATATGCAATCAGATTAGGACTTACTTGTTAGCTTTGTATCACAAATTCTACAAAACCACCAGTATCTGTTTTGATTTTCTCTGCTATCCCTTCTATTTGAATAGAATTGTTAGTCCAACTACTTTTGTCCTAGATCCCACTAATTTTTACCTTCACAAATACTTCCCTCTTTAAGTAGCAGCTTCTCCTATATCATTAGTCT